CAAATATTACTAATATTTTCAAAAGGCCAAAGTTGTAATGCAATATGACACATTATTAAGTTAATGAGAATAAATGGGAGGATGAAATGTTGAGTAAAACTTTTGGATGTGCGGGTACTAATAGTTAGTCCTGAAATGGGAATAAAAACTTTTGAAAGTCCTTTTGTTTTATTCACATCATTAAAATAATGATGTGAGTTTAAAGATCTTGATGACAGATGAGTTTCGTTTATATGAAAGGCACACGGGTGTTTTACCAACTTAAAAAAAGGTGCTGGTGAAAGAGACTGACCCCAATTAGGAACTGTACAACTGCTTTGCGAATGAATGTCCTTCACCATAATTCATCCCACATTTCTCAGCACCATCATACACACAAGAAATGTGTTGCCCTTCAGATGGACATTAACTTAACATACTTTTAGACACACTCACACACAAGTTGTGTGTTTCTTAGACACACACTAAGTACCAAATGTTAGCCAGCCATTCACTACAATTCCCCCAGTAGGCTTGACCTTTCTATGGGGCTAGATAAGAGCGCTATTAAGTTAGAGAGCAGCTGCTGATAGCTAATTGAGGAGGGAAAAGTGTGATTTGAATCCTTACTGATATTAGAATCCTAGGTGTGCGGTTTTCTAATTAATATACTGATTTCAATCAGTTCAAACACAACAGCATGGGCTATCTCGCACCTTTATTGAGTCCAGTGAGGCTCAGTTCTGAGTAAAATAGGTCTGATAGAGGCAATGAATTGGTGAACTGGTGAAGTTGGATTCATCCTGTTAGATCAAACCTCAGTCAGTCTTGGTAATATTTACATTCGAGAAATTGAGAAAAACCTTGTGTACTTACATCTGGTTTCATAATATTTTCAAAAGGCTGCCCAGTTGTGTATGTTTCATAACAATATCACACACTAAATTATTTTATTGTGTCATTGCTACTTTAAAACACTGTTTCCCACTGATACAGAAAATACAACCTCTGCAGCACTTCTTCTGTAACACTTCCATAACAGATGAAATAGTTACTTGTTCATTGACAGAATGTCTATTGTTTTGATATTGACATGCTTAAGTGGGCATGGTCGTACTGTTGCTAAGCAACAGCGACTGACAGTAGGGCTGACCAAATATACTCCATGACCCAGCAGCTTTTTTCCCCCCATGCATTTGTTGTGCAAGTTGCTTTTTATATTGATCTTGAAGGATTTTCTTTTTTCAGATATCATCTTTCAGTGGTTGTAAAACATTTTTAGACCACAAAGGGACCATAAACTCTTCACACTAATGAAGTTCTTTTAGCTTTTTGATGCTTTTCAAGCTTATAGTGCCTATTAAAGCAGTGAGGAGGCTCTCTGGGAAACATAGCCCACTCTCAATGAGGAATTAATTTACAAAAACATTATTAAGCTGTTAAAGGATAATTAAAAAGAAATAACATTTTATTGCTGCTTTTTGCCGTGGTCGTTGAGGATCTTCCCTCAATAGAAATCCCTGATGCAAGTAAAGCATTATTCACATTTTAAAAGCTTAAAGGCTTAAAAACTAATGTTCAAAGTTGAAACAACGGACAGGACAACAAAATGTAAGCAAACACGGAAGTGCCAAAGTGCTTAGAAAGAAATCTGATTCAGCAATTAGAGTTAAGGTCTATAGGTGGCTTTAATATGGTAATTTAGCATAAATGTTTGTATCTAAAGTGTCACGTGAATAAAAAAAAATTTAAAAAAAAGAAAGTAGGTCTGGACTTGGTAATGTATTAAAAAAATTGTTACCTTGCGATTAATAGGAAATGAAAAAAATAACTTGTTCTGGTATTTCAACATGGCAAGCTACATTCTGTCATGGCTTTAAATGGATTTAATCCTATTACACAACAAAATATCCCTCACACACGTTGGTGTTTTTGTGAAGCTTTAGTTTATCTTGGTCATTGTCTGCTTTTTCACTCATTTTCAGTTTTTCCAGTCTTTCTATCGGACCACTTTCAGAGGAATGTTTTTGCTTTTTAAGCCTCTTAACACTGACCTGTGAATCATTCAAGCAGAAAAAGGGCTCCTAACTCAAGGGATGAGCCAGTGTTGTGCTTACACCAAATAAACATGTTAGCAACAAACCAGTTCTAGATTATAAATTCTAGGCACATCCCAAAAATATATAATTTCTTGCTACTTCTTTAGTTGAATCTATTAAAAGATGCTAAAGACAACATGGTTAATTAGCATAAAATAGTGTTTTTGCTATTTAGATCGCGGTCCCCAACCTTTTTTGCACCACGGACTGGTTTATGCCCGACAATATTTTCAGGGACCAGCCTTTAATAATAATATTAATAATAATAATAATAATAATGGATTGCATTTATATAGCGCTTTTCGGGACCCCTCAAAGCGCTTTACAATTCCACTATTCATTCACTCTCACACACTGGTGAAGGCAAACTACAGTTGTAGCCACAGCTGCCCTGGGGCAGACTGACAGAAGCGAGGCTGCCATATTGCGCCATCGGCCCCTCTGGCCATTACCAGTAGGCGGTAGGTGAAGTGTCTTGCCCAAGGACACAACGACCGAGACTGTCCGAGCCAGGGCCCAACTCTTGAGCCACGATCGCCCCTGGCTCAAGAGTTGTCGCAGATAAATACAACAAAATAAAACTAGTACCGGTACCGAAAAAAATAAGATTTATTCGTAACACACGTGAAAAGACCCAGGAAAACATAGTTAATGATAAAAACTATAACAAAATAACGCTAAAAACTGATAAAAACCCTGAAAACCATACATTTCACACCCGAGCTTCAACCAAACGCCCGGGGGTTGGGGACCGCTGATTTAGAATATTTAGATTATTTAGTGTGCAGTGTGTCGGTAACAAAAGGATTAAAGTGCATAAGTGGAGGACAAAAGAAAAAGTGGCAGGCCTAAAAGAGCAAATGAACAGTATGTCAAAGTCATGTCCTTAGAAAATAGCACAAGACACCGACACCAACCCTGAGAGATGCATTTGGCCCTTCAATTGATCCATCTACTGTTCACCGAAGCCTCATTAGAAATGCTGGAAGGGTGGCTGTCAAGAAGCTCTTCTTGACATATGACAGTTATAGCAGGCAAAAAAACAGACCCAGATGCAGGATTCTGAATACAGGAATGAACTAAAACAACAATGAAATCCAACACAAATGCAGGGCAGGAGCAGGAAAACTAAACACCAAGTAGGAGGACACACAACCATGAAGAAGGACATGACAAAGGACAAGAGTTGACACAATTTGTACTCACAAGATAATGGCAGGAGAGGAAACAGGTTGGAACATAGCTGAGTTTATTTTGTCTGTTTCATTGTCAATATGTACAAGAGTGTCTACAATCATCTGTTAAACACAGCAGAGGCTCTGTTATGGTTTGCAGCTTCATTTCACCAAGTGGTGTTGGGGACCTTGTCAAAGGTGATGTTGGGGATCTGGGCAAAACTAAGCAAAACTATGAGTCGTAGACCAGCCTGCCCAGAGCCTGGACCCTGACATTAACTAGACCAGTCTGGGAACAAAAGGCAGCCAAGAGATTTAAATGTTCTGGGGGGTTGGGGGTATTCCTGAAGACTACAGGAAAGTTTCCCTCTGAGAGTTCAGTCTGTAATGAAAAATAAAGATGGCTGTATATATATGCTGGCACATGTTTCAATAAACCAGTGAAACAATTCATTGTTTTTCCAGCAAAATATAAAGAAATTATGGACTACTGCTCATGGTTTTTGTACAGTGTCCCCCAGTGAGCTATTTTTGATCTAATGAAGTAACTTCTTCTTCTTCTGCCTTTAATATAACTTAAAACAATAGGAAGAAAAATCAAGGGGAAATATCTGTTATGTTAACTCTGTTTAAAAATTCCTTTTCCTTTTATTACTTTATATGTTCTGGGCTCCCATTTCTCTCCAGATCTCATTCGTCTTCATTCTTCTATAAACACACACTGCTCTCGGTTCCTATTACAATTATGTAGT